CAGATCTCTCGGTCTCTGCCTAGGCTTGCATTAAGTTCACCTCTCGATACGAGTCGTGTTTCGTTATGCTCACTGCCGGTCGGAATTGAGAAACGTGTGTCAAGAAGGCGTTGAGACTCAGCAGAGACCGAAGGTGTCATGGCGCGACGTGCCAGACCACAACTAAGCCAGCAGAATGCAGAGTATTATTGACAAGCGACCAGTGTTGGTTAACATTATCGGGTGGGGTTGGTTCTAGCTTTTCAGCTAGGGCGTTTTGGAAGACAGTTAGACAAGCTGGTTTGGACAGTTTATCACAGTCTAACCGTTGTGTCGTGCATTTGGAACGCCCACCGAAGGACATGGACAGTTTGGCGCATACTAATGCGTGGTCGGATTCAAGGGGAGTGATCCAGTACGATCGGCAGTCTTGAATGCAGCCCCGCCATTTGTGGCTTATAGCGATGTGGTCGATCTGTGTCCATCGCTGACTCGAGGAGGGCGGACGCCAGGTGGCGTACTGGCAGTTGGAGCGTCTGAAGTTCGTACTGGCAAGGAATAGATCGTGGTCGGAACACAGAGACAACAGCCGTTCCCCGTTTTCCGAGCAACAGGAATCTATTCCGAAAGGATCACCCAGATGCGCCTCACTCGAAGCCAGCCGACCTACTGTAGCATTCATATCTGCTGCTAAAATCATGACATCAGCCCGGGTTGCTTTACGCAAGAGGTCGTGTAGGCTATGATGAAATTCATCTTTGACTGCATTTAGACTGCAGTCCGTTGGGGGCATACGCCGACAAGATAAACAGGTTTCGTCTATCGGGGCGGAGGCTGTTTACTTTGCACGAACCTCTAAGTCTCACTGCCCAGAACCTACTGTCAACTGAGAACCAGTCCAGAAGCGCGGCTTCAGCTCTCTTACTTAGAGCCACACCAACGCCAGCAAGACCGGAAGCCGCAGCCTCAGGGTCCCCAGATAGGCGTAAATAAAACTTTACTGATGGGTTTGACGGGGACGTCAACTGGATAATGGAGCTGGAGTCTTCAATGCTAGTTTCTTGGATGCAACACACATCGACGGTTAGGGTTTTAAGCATACGAGCTAAACACGCCTATTGTCTTATACGCATCAGAGTACGCACATTAAACGTGGCTAGTTTGAATGGGCAGCGAGGGCGAAGAAGGGCTTCATCTGGTGGAGGATTCGCTGAAACTTGGACAGCAGTCGAGATAGGACAAGAGCGAATGGCGGCAGAATTTCCGCCCGAGGCACTACTGTTAGTACGATCGTTTGAAACACACGAGAGGGATGGAGGAGTGTTGGAGAGGTAGAGATGAGCTGGGGAGGCTTGGAGAACAAGAGGGTGTGTACAGTGTGGAATGTTTTTTGTGGGATGAACGAGCATCAGAGTATCTAATTGTGAGAGCAAGACGGATCACGGTTGTATGCGTTGCGGGCTACTGTACCATTCGGTCGCCCGGTCCAGAGTAGGACTTGTTCGAGGATGCACTCTAACCTTTGCGCAACCAAGCGCGGACTGTAAGGCAATAGTAACGTTCTAGATGAGCCGGTGGCCAGTCTCCGGTTTATTCGCCTCTTCTGGGAAACCTTGTCGGACAATGGATCTGGACAAGGAGTAATGGTCATATTTAGTGTTGGGCCACACTCGCCAAGTCACAGCGTTATCCACAGATATATGTGGTGTTTTGTGCGGAGAACCCTTACTAAGGGTAAACCCACCACATCCTCGAGCGCTGACACGCTGGTCGTCCGCGACCGCTTATACGGCAGGCCGAAGCCCACCTTATTCACGGTTAGCCGCGAGATGACGGCCTTTTTCCTATTCGCGACCTGGGGACGCGCTCGGTGGCATACAGCTCTGCTCTTTCACTGAATGTTTTCGTGGGGTTTCAATTCTTATGGAAAAGATTATTGTCTGCAAGCCAGATTCCCATTGATAGTTTTTCGTAGAGTGGTGTGCTATATTATTTGATAATGCCCAAGTAATAAAATGAAACTTGCTTCGAGGCTGCAGGTTTCCATCAAAACATCATCAACATTTGTGTTCATTTTCCGTTTTAAGTTACACACCATTGTTTAACCCAATCCGGATCCAAACAAGTGAAAATGTTCCGGAAAGTGATTGCACAATTGACACAATGAAGCACAACAGACTGAATCTGTGTCCACACAAGCATCGAGACTTACCGAGATGCCAGCAAATCCCATTCGTATTTCTTTTGGAAAAATTCCCCCAGTCGACGTTTTGGCCAGTCAATCTGAACCACTTTGTTCTCGATATCCTCTGCCAAACCTTTGTCTAACGGTTCCGCGATCATCGTGAGTTTATTCCTACATAAATATGGGAAGGAGGGGTTATACTTTTATACACCTGGTAATTTTGAACGAATTGGAAGAACTATGCTTTTCTGCAGAACGAATAACATAGTGGCCCTCAGAAGACGATCCATAATAAACGTACTTTTTATTGGGCGTTTCGGCAAAGCACTTCAGAGAAGACGTCTCCACCACTGTCTCGCAGAATGCAACCACAGGGTCGGCCACTTTGACCTCTACATGTGAGTATGGGAAAAGAGGGGTTGGAGTAAAATACAAATCGATGATGAGGGAGGGACAGTTGAAGAATATACTGTGAGAGGCACTATGCTGATCATTTATTCACATGTGACCTGTAAAAAAGAATGGTCCCAATCAGAAATTTAACGGACGGAGGAGCATGGAACACAGCAATAAAGCAATTATTTTACGACAGGAGCTTTAAGTGAATGTTTATGAATATCAAATCAAGTCGCCCAGTGTGATGAGTAGTAGCGAGGACCGAAACCCATGAACACGAAGACCTACTATTTGGTTACAGGAACTGGCAATGTGAGGCCTAGGACTTGACATGGCAAATCACGTAAGGCATTAGAAAGCAAGATATGTGTGGTTTTGAGTTGGGTGAACCAGAAGCTGATTACTATCGGAGTTGGGTAGTGGGAAAAGTATGTGGATTTCGGATCACAAAGCCTAGCACACTGACTAAGAACGACGGAAAAAGCTCTACCGCCGTCAATCACTATTCATTAAGAAAAACACGTTCCCAAGACAATCATTATTCATGAAAAACACATCAGGACTATTTGTTTTTATAGAAGGGATGTTTGTACGACGAATTCGTCGTTTAAATGAGGCGTGAGCTGAAAAGCTGGGAAGCACTGGACAGCTGTTTCCTCCTGGTTGGGTCTCGTCAGCAGTGCGAATCCATCGACAGTTTTCTCCCGGTTGAACACCTTGTCAGTACATTCACGCACTAGCTGATGTTTATGGTCTATCATCGGAGCGGACAAGTGAGAATTCGTTTGTTGCATATTTAGCAGTTTGCTTATGATCACAATAGGTCACGGGAAACAGTTACAAATAAAACAGAACAGCAACTAATTAGGTTGTGAAAGTTTACCACCGAGTCATAACCCTGGAGGCTAGTGAAGAGCTGAGTGATTATCGGTACTCGCAACAAGTTCGCATAGATGGGTTGTGCTATATCGTGTAAACTTAAAATGAGAAACGGTCTGATCAGCTGCCCCGTGACCGAGTGGGTAGTATGCTTGCGTTCTGCTTGTGAAGTCCCGGGTTCGGTGCCCAATTGGGTCGATGGATTCGCACTGCTGATGAGACTCAACCAGGTCGAAACGGCTGTCCACTGATTCCCAGCTTTTCAACTCACCCCTCATTTACACGACGAATTCATCATACAAACAAATCAAATCTTCCTCTATTCTCATAGAACGGATATTCGTACGAGAACCGAGGCTGACCTCATAGCGAGAACATTTGGTAAAGGTCACTATATTAAAATAATAATGAATATTTCATCTAGGCTTTGTTTTACTGTTCTCAAACATTT